TGTTTACCCACCCCCCCCACACATGCACACTCTGTTTAAAGTGTTTGACAAAGGTAGACAAATATTTGTAAGTCCGAGGTCAAATTTTGATCACAGCTCATACAATTTTGTTTATTATACTTGTTAATACTTGTTTTATGAATCATGATTGGACAAAGTTTTTAAAAACAAAAGATGTGCCTTTTATATATAAAAACTTCTGTTATGTTAATTTTGATTAATTTCCCTGAAGAAGTTCGGACCAGATTGCCGAACCAAACGTTGGAATTACTCATTTCAATATCGCTGAGATATTACAAATATAATTTTTTACTAATCCTATAATTATACATCCCTTCCCAACAGCTATACACCTTATGTATTATTCAATATATGACATTAATTGTTTTGCTACTTGACATTTAACTATGATTATAATCACAAATATTTTAATCGTATTTCATACTATTAATATTTCATGTATTCACAGCTTTGATTCAATTCCCTCATCGGATATAATTTCTTATAAAAAAACCCACAGATATACGATTGTACAGCTTGATAATAAATTCGTTGAATGTTGTGTTCCTAATGTTACAATGGGAATTATTGAATTAATGTCGTCTTGTGATAATTCTCATCACCTTGTTGCGTAATGTTTTAACTGTTAACTAGTATTATTATTTCTACACTCCACCGCTTTTGAGATTTATACATTTCATGAACTATTTTATACAGCATATAACCAATTGTTTTTTGGCTACAAGATTTCATCATGAGCTGACATCGGTTTGAGAACCATTGGAAAACCACCTGGGAGTACTGAACAGCTGTTTCGTCCTAGTTTGGGGCTCCTCATCAGTACGCATATCTCGCCAGGGTTACAACCCAGGTCTTCCTGGATACAAGGCAACCTCGTAGACCATTAAGCCACTGACACTCGATCCAACGGCCAACCCATGAATTCCAACTTCTGCCAATTCACGACATAGCGTGACCGCTAGCCAATGTCTTCAGCAGTTATCTGTCCTCCCACCCGACCTGATGTACCCTACTGGTACTGGTAGTAGTTGGAATTCATGGGCCGTTGGATCGGGTGTCAGTGGCTTAGTGGTCTACGAGGTTGCCTTGTATCCAGGAGGACCTGGGTTGTAACCCTGGCGAGATATGCGTACTGGTGAGGAGCCCCAAACTAGGACGAAACAGCTGTTCAGTACTCCCAGGTGGTTTTCCAATGGTTCTCAAACTGATGTCAGCTCATGATGAAATTCTGTAACCAATCAAAAATATCCCTACAAACCAATACTTGAGTTATTTTTTTGTCACAGTCCACATTATTATTTAAAAATTTATGTATATACGACTATACAGCTTGATGATGAATTTGTCAAAAGAGAATCTTCTCTGAATCCCTTATTTTGATTTTCTCTATGCCCCAGTCAGAATTTCCAACGAACTATCGCACAGAACATAAAACAGTTTTATTATCACTATGCAAACTATACACAAGTATCTGTTAATTAGCGTAGAGATCGAGAAAACTAAGTAACCGAATAGCAGAATGAGGAGAATAAAAGGTGTTATTAAGCTTCCTAATGTGCATGAAGAAAGAATTCAAAAATATTCAGTGGGGTTAAGAGCTGAAGTTGGAACTTCTGCAGCAGCATCACAACTTGGTGAGTACCAGTGCATACTATAAACATACCAACCACATACTTTGAGCAAACTGCAGTTAAATTTACTGAATGGGATATGAAAATATCAACCAGTACTGGACCTTTTAATAATAATAATAATTAATTATTAGAAGAGAAATCTTCATCTCAGAATGATGAAGTCAACAATCCAAAGTCAGCGTCGATCGATAAATTAAAGTGGGTTATCAATCTCTCAACACATATATTAAGTCCTACGGAAATAAGTGTATTAGAAAAGGGACTAAATTTCAATGTATCAGTAGACAAGCTGAAACCTGAGGATTTCATCCCTAAAATAGAAATAGCATTAAGTGGGATAGAAAAAACTACGGCTGATGAAGTACAGGCACAATGTGCACTAACATTAAAACGACAAAAATGTGGAAAGCCTAACCTGACAAAACAAGAGATAGAAGCCCTGAAACACCTTAAGAATAACAAGGATATAGTTATCACAAAGTCAGACAAAGGAAATGCAACAGTAGTATTAGACAAATCAGACTATTTGGACAAAGTAAGTACTCACATACAAACAGGATCATATGAGGAAATTAATAAACCAATAGATACAGTTATGAATAAAGTTAAGAAATCCACAGCGGACCTTATACGCCAAATGAAGCCATTTCTAGGTGAGTCTAAGTAGTTTAATTTCATGCCCAAAATTAATAACCCCAATAGGATGTATGGTGTTGTTAAAGTTCATCAGTACTGGACCTAATGAACTACGTGTTTGTCGATACGCAAACACTTCTGAATTTGAATTGAACATCTCTGGTACACACTAGATGGAGAAGTTGATGATTCCAGACGTTGGTTATGTATAGCTGACAGTAAATCTGCAGAATGACTGTTTCACCATTACATCACTTCCCTCAGGCAGACAAAATAAGTGGTTTTAAACTACTCGTATCAGCCCATCAGTAGTATATACTACAAGGTAAATAAATGGATTCTGAACAAATTAGATGAGTTTGTTAACTGACTTCATAGAGATACTACTGACGAATAAACACTGACAGGAGAACGACTGGAACTAAGCAGTGAATACTTTCCATCAACGGTATCACCTTGAGATATAGCCTGAGTATGTTAGTAGTCTAGCCATGACCATACTGTTATTTATATACCTGTTATTCATTTCTGATCTATTGACACAAAATGTTTACCGGCTTCAAACAATTTCCTACAAAATACAACCATGTTTACATAAACTTCAGTGCTTCCTGGTTGTCAACAACTGTCTAACTGACGAGAGTTTAGTAAAGAGGCTCTTTACGGCGAACTTATTTCCTATAGCTGTAAAATCACATGTATATTTAATTGCTGACATAAAAGGTTCAATAACAGTGTCTCCCGTGGTAGCAGAAACGTAGCAGTAGCCTAATAAGGAGAACAATAGTTGAACACTTTGTCGACAGTGGCCATTCTATCTCAGGAAACTAGTCTTCTTCAGAGTGATCTAGAAAGTAAAAGGGAAACTTGCCAAAGATAACATGCTTCCACCTTCTCTTTATTGCTGAAGCTCTCACCATTCACACGAAGTGAGCAGGACTCTGAATACAAAAGAGAATTATTCAACCAGTTTCTGTTATCGTGGCAACTACTTTAGTTGTTTTCTACCGACTTGAGTTCTGTTTATTTTTAAAGAATTCTTTATTACTTTTGTATTTCCTTTGAGCTCCACATAATATCACATTTTTTTCATTTTTTCTTTGTTTATCCTGATTACAACTCATTCAGCCAATTAATTACTCATGTGACCATAATACCCTTATTCAACTCCTCTTATGTATTCGATAATATTAAAAAATATGATTATGATAAAGAATCACTCTTTGTAATGAATAAAATGGATTTGTCTCGAAGAAAGCTTCTTCACTGAACCCCCTTTTTTGTCTTTTCATGAAGGGAAGATAAGGTGTCCAGAAAGAATTATCAAAAAGATACTCCGAAAACAAACCAATCAAGAACCTGTTACCCAACAATATTCCAAAGAAAATGGAGATGGATCGGACACTCGCTGATGAGAACGTTGGGTGACATTTTGCGCCAGACCATCACTTGGTGGGAACCTGAATGGTAAATGGCGAGTTGGGCGTGACTCCGAGGGTGACATGGAGCAGATCGTGTGAGAAGGAGGTGAAAGCTTATGGGAGATTGTAGGGCCAGGGAATAGGCACTGCAGAGAACAGGGTGAATTAGAGATGTGCTACTCAGGCCCTGTATTCCGTTCGGAATTCAACAGAATAATAATATTGACGGAGGTTATTCATGAGTGATGGGAGTTGCTTTGATGGAAAAGGTTATTATTATTATTCCTTTTGCTTCCGTGTGGGGTATAGGGCTTCAACAGAATATTTGCACTTCACCATGTTTTCTACAGTCCTCTTCATCTGGCTCCACAATCGCTCATAGACCGTCATCCTCTCCTCACACCATTTCCTCCATGTCACACTTGGATCCATGCACAATTCGTTGTTTCTCATTCAACTTCCACTCGAGATATGACCTGGGGCTTGATATTATTCAACGGTCCAATCAGTTCGAGTCCCATAAATATCTCCATTTTCTTCTGCATATTGGTTGAGCAATAGCTTCTTGGTTGGTTCTTTCCCAGAAATTCTTGTTGCCAATTCTTTCTGACTGGCCATTTCATCTTCAGTATGGAGCTAGTGAAGTCAGTTGTTGATAAAATTCTTCAGTAGTCTGTTAAAAATGCTTTTGGTAACAACCCAAGTCTCGGTGCGTCGGTGGCACAGTGGTTAGGACTCTCGCCCACCATGCACATGGTCAGGGGTTCGATCCCCTACCGACGCACACCCGATATCTATGGTCGGCCTGCAAAATTTGGGTTACCGATATCCATGCTGAAAATTCCATACTTGTACTGAAAATACGGTGTGGCATCAAGCTGTAATCCAAATAAAAAAATAAAAAATAAATAAAAAATAAAAGAACTGACTGACTAATTTAACATTGGTGTTGGAAATCCGAATTTTATACTTTATGCTTAGTACAGAAGATTTTCAAAACAGTTTCAGAGTGATGAAGGTGTGCTCTGCCTTTGACGCCCTCATTTGTAATTGAAGGAAGTATCCTCCTTCAAATTTCTCCTGTTCATAGTGCCTGGTACTCGCTGTTGTTGGTTGGTTGGTTAGTTATCTTCATCACCTCTATCTTCATGTTCAATATATATATATATATATATATATTCGCTTATAAAAACACACGTGAGTTTAGTACGCCCACATGTTCTAAATAACCTTCATTAAACTCACTTGTGATTGGTATGAATAAAAGAAAAATTTTTCTATGAGTACCCTCATATTATTTTATAAACTCACATTCAGCACAATCACACACAATTGATCTTTTATTATTATTATTATACATAAGATAGTAAAAATGCTTTCCACCAGTGTATATTCTTATTAAAAATTATTCATATTTTTCTTACTAATACAATCGAGTGAATTCACCAAAATTCAAATGAATCATTTAAACAACTGTTTGTAAATAACATTGAATGTGTAACTTTATGACTTATAGAAATAAATGTACTAGTTCCATTCATACTAATAATGTGTACAGTATGAATACGCTTACCTAACATCACTAATAAATATATTGTTATCAGCACTGTCTGTCTAGAATTGATAATAATAATAATAACAACCTGATAGGTTATAAATCACCATCATCATCTTGCTGTTTTACGGTTTCTGCGTGTGTGCTTTGTCTGAGTTAAACACAAAGAAAGCAACCAAAAAACGAAAAATCGATTCATTCAAAAAGGTTTATATATTAACAAGAAATGTATACACATTGTCATTGGACTCCAATAGCTATGCCAGAAATGTGTGGACCACTGGTCGGTGAACATGCGGGTTTAATACATGCTTGTTCTGTAAGTGAAAAGTTTTATTTTTTATTCTAATATTTATGTAATTATTATTTTTTAGTTGATTTTATTTAATGAACGACTTTTTGGGTAAATTTTACATGAACGTAGGCAGTTTTACATAATGTATGATTAAGGTTGATGGTTCTTCGGTAGAATAGTTGCCAGCCACGCCTCATGTGATCGGCGGTTGGTTGCAAGCCGGATAAGTAGGGAATGTTTCGCGTTAGGCTAGCAACTCCAAAGTTTAAGCTTGAGGCTCTACTCCCACCGGGAATGCAGTGGAATGGAAAAAAAATGAGTAGAATGTATGCTCTCCGATGTTCAGGTTACTTAGATCTCGCTGCAAAGCACTACTGCCAATTGATGTGACTAGTATCCAACTACTTGTATAGATCAATCAGTTAGCAGTAATGTAGAACCATACAGTTTCATTTGCTTTCTTGACTGCCATTTACGTATGGTATTAAGCAGATTACACCTATCCATGGATAGGTGGGAAAACATAGCAATTGAAACGTTCAACCCCACTCCAAAAGTATGGTGGAGGTATGTAGATGACACATTCACTGTACTTAGAACACAAGATATAGATAGATTTTTCGAACACATTAACTCAAAGGTGGAGGCAATTCAATTCACTTATGAATTGGAAAGTCAGGAAGGGGAACTGCCAATGTTAGATTGCAGTGTAAAAAGGAAAGAAGATGGGAAGTTAAACACTAGTGTTTACAGGAAACCCACACATTCAAACAGATATTTGGACTTCCGATCATCCCATCCTATGTCAGTAAAAATAGGATTGGTGAAATGTTTAAGTGACAGAGCACAAAAACTAAGTAGTACCAAGGAAAATCTAAGACAAGAAGTGAGACATATAAGAGAAGCCTTGAAACTTAATAATTACCCTGATAAATTAGTCAGGAAATATGTAAGGAAATGTAAAAATAAAATAAATAATGATAGTAGCGATAGTGATAATAACAATAATAATGATAACAATAATAGTGATAATAATAATATTAATGACGACACCAACAATAAGGAATCTAAATCATCAGTAGTAATTCCATACAAGGAAGGAACCTCGGAAACCTTACGCAGAATTCTTAACAAGGCAGGAATAAAAGTGCTGGCATTCAAACCCACAAACTCAATTAGAAACAAGCTTTGTCGGTTAAAGGATCCTTCCTGTGGAGCCTTTAAAACAAAACAATTTAGTTTATCTAATACCCTGCCTGCAATGATTGTCAGGTCAAATACATAGGTCAAAGTAGTAGAACAGGGGCAGTCAGACTAACCGAACATAAAAACCTAGCAAAATCTAGATTAGTTGACCCTAATAAGATAAGAAATCTAGAGAATAGTTCAGCTATAGCACTCACTACATGCAATTACACACAACCATACAATAGGATGGATGGGATAGGATGACAGTTTTAAAATCTAATGTCACAGGGTATAGGGAGAGATTGATAACAGAAGCTTTGTTTATCGAATCAACTGCAAATACATGTAATAGGAATGATTCAACACCTGTCCCAGATATCTGGAAAATTCTACTACCCCTACGACACAAATAGGAGAGGACAAAGAAAACTATAAAACTCAAGTTTCGAAGTCGTGTGATTATAATTGATATGATTATGAACAATAATAAATTCTGTTCGAAACGTCATCCAGTAAATAATACTGTTTCACTGTGTGATATATCTAATAAACAAACTAATATGAGATTACATATTTTATGGTGTGAATTGATTTCGGTTTTCAAAAGAAGTTTGTGGTGAAATTTCACTTCCCCGAAGTGTATTCAAATTGCTAATTTCGAATTTAAGCATTGTCGTGGAGTTATTTGGTCTAAGTTCCTGTTGAGTGATTTTAAATTGAATGGAAATGCTAAGTGTCTGTTGACGTAATTGGCTCCTAGAATGAATGCTTTGTTGATGTCTGAAGGCGGTTAACATGATGTGATTTAGTTGATATTAGCTAGCAGTGAAATTCACGAGGATTAATGCATGAAGTGTTCCGAGAATTATCAGCCGAATGTAACTCTGTGTCCCCCTGTGTCTCAGTGGGAATACCATTAGAAGTTCCGTGAAGGACGAAATATGCACGTTGAATTCTGCTGCTGACCATCATTAACTAAATGTCATTGTGGTAGTGTGTGTGTGTAAAAAATTCGAATTCAAACGTTATCCAGTTACCTTTTATTGTAAGACTAAAACTTACAGTGTTCAAAAAGCCCGGATTGGTTAAAGTTTAGTTAATTTCTAAAAGTGACTGGTACCCTGAAGTGATGATGGAAATATTGTAGAGAATGATTTACCCTGAAGAGATATGGTTCATCTCATTCGCTTTTTTATTGATTATAAGGTTCTATTTTTTAACACGAGCACCAAATACTAGTTAATAAAGTACAGTTTAATGAATTCATGAAATTCTAGTAGACCTCTTCAACTGAATGTTCTACATACAACGATATATATGTATATTGTATATATGTATTCTGTGAGAAATATATCTTTCTGAATTCAGGGTGGAAATCTGTTGAACTTAGCACAAAAACAAAAATTCGGAATTTCGACACTAATGTTAAGTCAGTCAGTCTTCTATATATGGGCCAGAAACTTGACTAACGTGTCACGAAAAGGATTTCAAAAAAGTTGCAGACTTTTATGAACAGTTGACTTCACCAACTCCGTATTGAAAGTCAAGTGGCCGACCGGCTAAAAAAGAATTAGCAACAATAAACTATGCAGTGGAAAAAAACCAAACAAGAGCTGATCGCTCAACAAATATGTAGGAGAAAATGGAGATGAATTGGGCATACATTGAGGAGGCCATCGTTTGAGTGGAATCCGAATGGGAAGTAATGAGTGGGTCATCGCTGTGAGGGTGACATGGAGGAGGGTATGATAGATTATGGCCAATGGTGGACCGAGCTGAAGAGGACAACAGAGAATAGAACAGAGTGGAGATGTGTTGTTGAAGCCCTATTTTCCACTTGGAACCCAAGGGAATAATAATAAAAATATATAATAATACCGAAAACTGTTGAATTCATTGAACCATACTTTATTAACAAAATTTATTGCTGATTTAAAATTTCTGTCAGGAAATAAATGCTTCAAGTTATGACCATGGACTGATATCATCTAGAGAACCATTGGAACGCAGGGAGTACTTAAAGACTGCTTCGTTTTATTCTTCGGGACTCGTCAGCAGTAGACATACACCTGGGCTCGAACCCAGGACACCCTGGTTGCAAGTGAAGCTTGTAGACCATTCAGCCACTGGGACCTGATCTAGTAGCCAAGGCACGATTTTAGACTAACCACCACTTCTGAAAATTAATCTAATACTCGCTAGTGACTGGCTGCAGGACGAAGTCACCTGGAGTTCTAGTGAGAAGTCATGACCAGAGGGGTCCACCCTGTCGGGCGTGAGAACAAATACTCACTGATCACATTGGCTGGTGATTGTGCTAAAATCATGAATTGATACAACTTGGAATTCATACCCTCGGCGGCTGAACGAAATACGATCTTGACTTGTAACCGGGAGGTCCTGGGTTAGAATTTCGGTGGGTGCGTAGTGCTGAAGAATCCCAAACACTGGGAAGAAACAGTTATTATTATTTTTTATTTTACTGCCTTACGATCCCAGTGGAACATAGGGATTCTAGCTAGAGACTTGAAGTTTCGGTAGCAGTGGTATTTATTTTTACGGGATGGGGTTGCTAGCCTCATGCCCAACCTTCCCTCTTTACCAGTCTTATTACTGGCTTAGTGAGGTTTGGGAGTGCGTCGGTGGCCGGGGATCGAATCTCGGACCACATTCGTGGTTGGCGAGCATTCTACCGCTGTGCCACTGACGCCAAACACATAGCAGTATCATCAGGTAATTACAAATGGAACAGTAGATACTTCATAAAATTATGGACATATACGTGAATAACATTCTACTGATTGATATAAGTATAAAACTTGGGCACTGTAGTAGAGTATAACTCCATTATGGATAAGATTTTATTTTGATAAATCACACAGTGTTATACAGTAATATTAACTGATGACCACGTTTCGAGCACAAACTATTGCTTATAATCATATCAGGCTACTCACACAACTTTTTCCTTCATTTATATACATGTATGGAATTGACTAGATATTAGAATAAAACTAATATAGGATAATGTACATTCAGAAATAATAATATGAGTGTTATTGATCAATTACAATTAGATGGGAAATAAGACGAGTGTTTTTATAGTCATAATAAGTGACTTGTTAGAATGCTGTTATGTACGTGAATTGAAATAGAATTTTAAGATTATTTATTATTCTCTTGTGATTTGACTGGTGGTAAAAATATCTTCCATACTTCTGGGATTTGCATTGAGTCATTTCTGTTGCATGTGTTGGGTGTAGACTCAATGAACCAGGATTCAGTAATCAACCTCTCTCTATCTCCAACTACCTATGTTACTCTTTAGAATTTTAACCCTATCCCACACTATTGTGTGGTTGTTTGTTAATGCGTGAAGTGCAATTGCTGAGCTTTTTTCTAAATTACTTATCTTTTCAGGGTCAGCCATTCTGCCCTTAGCTAAATTCTTATGTTCTGATAATCTGACTACTCCTGATCTACTAGCTTGTCCTATGTAGTTGACTTAACTCACAGTCATTGAAAGGTATTTTGTAAATTATATTATTTTATTTAATTGGGTCCATCGGGTACTTTAACCTACAGAGCTTGTCCTACCTGAGTGAGTTTGTAGGTTTGAATGCCACCCTAATTCCTGCTTTATTCAGAACCCTACGTAGGGTCTCAGATGTCCCCTCCTTATATGGTATAACAATAGATGCCTTATATTCTTTCTTATTTATGTTATCACTACTAGTTTCACAATTACTTTCATTTTGCTTTTGGCCTTTTTCGATCTTCCTAAAGAATTATATAGGGTAGTTATTTAACACCAACGCCTCTTCTATCTGTTTTAT